CACCCCGGCGTGCTTTCCTTGGAGCGGCCCCCGAGGGGACCTGCCCTGCAGCCCTCCCGCCTGGAGCCGGCCTCAGATTGTTCCGCTGCTTCTTTCAGGAGCGCGTAACCCGGCGGCCCTGGTCATCCGGGAAGCAGTCCGGGAGCAGAGGCAGCTTCCCCAGCTCGTGGGCTGCCTGTCGGCGGGGTGTGGCGCTGCCTCCTGGGTGCAGACCCTCAGCCTGCAGCAAGGAAGGGAGAAGCTGATATCGCTGGGAGCCCACCGCCCAGGCCAGGTGACTGCTGGGAGGGGGAGGGGAGCAGAAAGGCTTGCTGGGTCTTCCTGCAAACGGTCTCGGGTCCGCTGCTGCGGAAGCGAGGGTTGGGAAATACTGTCTGTGTACGGGAACAGTCTTTGCGCACCGTATCTTGATTGGGCCAACCCTTCGGCTTCATACGTGCCTGCCTGGGGCGCAGTGCCCTAGGGCAGAAAGGCGGATACAACCCGTGTTTCATGAGGCAAATACTTCTCCGCCCTGCAGCCTTTGTCCCTGGTGGACGTGTGCTACCGGGCGTGGAACGGTCCCATTCTTTCTTCCGCAGCAGACCGAGGATAGTGCTGAGCGAACCCCGGCAGCCCCCCAAGAGGCCTCTGCTCCTGAACCTGTCCCGGGAGTTGCCACTGCCGGGCAGCAGCGCCGTGCCCCCCTGCTTCACTGGCCCCCGCATGGCAGAAAGAGAGTGGGAGAGGCGGTCCAGCTGCAGCTGGAGAAAAAGGCCAAGGCTCACCCCGTGGGGCCCGTCGGGTGCCCTTGGCTGCAGTAAGTCGTCTTCGGTGCTGAGTTTGGAATCGGTTTCTTCTTCCAAAAAGGGGCAGAGCCAGCGGACAGGGCACCCGTTCTGTGTAGTGCCAGGGACAGGGCGCTGCCTGGCCATGGAGGAGGTCCCTGCTGGTTAACCTCCATTTTCAGCTGGCGCACGGTGGGGATGACAGCTTGTGCCCAAAGATCATCCCCCCTTTGTGTGTCAAGTCAGAGCCTCGCAGCGACAGCTTTCCAGACTCCTTCCAAAATCCTTGCACGGCCCTTTCTCACTCCACACTCCTTGACAGCGGAGGGCAGAGCCTTTCTTCCATTTCACCCCTTCCTTACGCCTTCCGTGAAGCACTTGCCCAGCAGGACTCAGGCCACTGTCGGCTCTGTCCTCGATCAGAGGCCCCGGGGCTGTTTTCTGGGCACCTCCCTTCCCAAATTAGCCGCAAGGAGAAGCGTTGCAGGAGAGAAGCAGGACAAGTGTCCATGGGAACTGGGGAGAGTGGGAAGGGGCTGGGCTGGGCTGGGCTGGGCTGGAGTCAAGAAGGGGGGTTCCAGACTGCCTCTGTTCCATTCTGCCCTTTTCCAGATGCAGGGAGAATGCTGAAATCAAGCCCCCGCCCTGCCCCACAGCCCTCCTGGGGAGCTGCAGCCCAAAGGGGGCCTCGCTTCCAGATGGCCCTCCGCGTCCAGTAAGTATTTGCGGCGGCTGAGGGGCCCCAGGAGCCATGCTAGGAAAGGGGCACGCTCCCCTGGCCTGGGGAGGCCTGGTGTTCCGCGTAGCGAGGGTCCGCTTCAGGAGAAAGGGGCTCTTGCTGTTCCCCTCTGGGCCCTCTTGGGGAAGGCTCTTCCTTGGCTGCCGCGCGTCCAGGCTGCTCGAGGTCTGTCTCGGCCCTGCTTCTGGCTGTGCGGGCGCGGGGCACCCAAGACCTGGAGCACATTCGCGGCTAAGAGGAAAAAGTCCACACGAGCCTCTCCTGGGAGGGCAAATCCAGTAGACAACGACCATGCCAGGACCCCCACTGTTGCTGGAAATATGGGAAGGCTCGTTGGAAAGCAGTCAGTGTAATGAGGAGAAACTTTTCAGGTAGAGATTTATGATTCGCTCCTGTAGAACCACAGGGAATAAATGTGGGGGGTGGGGACAGCTGCGTGGTTGGAGCCCCTTCCGCTGCCCTCCCGCCTCCCCTTCCTTCTTTCTGGATTGGGGCAAGACTGGAGGAGAGCTGGCTTTCAACAGCAGGCTGGATGGCCAGACGGGCTGGGCGGGTCGGGGAAGGCTCTGAAGCCCCCAAGAGAAGCGGCCAAGGAAACAGGAACTCGACTGGAGGGGCCAACCAGCGGGGGGGGGGGCATTTGCCCGGCAAGACAGCCAGCAGGCAGGACCACCAACTCAAAGAGCCCAGTTCAGCTGGCAGAGTCCGCCAGCGGTGATGAGGGAGGTCCTAGAGCAGTGATGGTGAGCCTGCGACACGCGTGTCAAAGGTGACATCCCAGTGTTCACCAACACCTGACAACAACTATTCTCCCTATTCGAGTTACCAAAGAAACTTCATTTTACTCGTATTTCATTTTTGTAATTATTTGACATTCTTTATGTAATACGTAGCACCACACGACTGGACTGCCTTTTTTGTAAATAAATGAGAATTGTTTCCCTTTTTGGGGGGGGGGCGGAGGCGTGTGCCACGCCAGCAGAGTCACCTTAGGTATTTTCCAGACTTTTGACATGCCGAGCCCAAAAGGTTTGCCGTCACTGTGTTAGAGAGAGCAGCCGAGAGGTCAGCTGGCCAAGTGACAGCAGGGCAGCGGCCATTGGAAGAGTCCAGCTAGTGGAGAAGGGGTGAGGAGGCCAAGCGGCGGGAAGCGGTCAGCCACAGCAGAGCTAAAAGACCCGGTCAGCGGCTGGGGCCGTCCACGCACCGGCTGGGGGGAGCAAGTGCTGAAGCCGTGCCCACAGCGCTGAGGCAGCTGGGGACTTTGGGAAGAGGAAAAGAAATCTCAGCAGCTTGAGACCAGCCAGGCCAACCGCAGACAGCCGCGGCCCAGGGGTAAAGAAGGTCAGCAGCCCCAGCCGTGAAGGCCGCTCCGGCCACGAGCAAGCTGGTCAAACCCGGCCCGCTACAGAACAGCAGCTGATGGGCTGAGAGCAGAACGAAAGAGTGAAAACTGAAAAGCTTCAGAAAACATGAAAGTGCAATCAGTTAACAAACCGGAGGGGGAAATGGGGAAAGAACCTTTAAAAACATTCTTGCTGTAAGTAGCCAGAACGTAAGGCTTTATTTTTTTATGTGCCTGTTGTAATAAAAAGTGAAACGTTGGCTGAATGACTGCACCGATTCAGCTGGGGAGAAGGCTCGGGTGGGCCCCGTGCGGCTCAGCATTTTGTTAGCGGCTTGTGGGACAGAGTTCCGGGGAGTCGCCAAGTTCTCAAGACGGCGCAAAGCTGGGTGGGGCAGCGGACGCTTTAGATGGAAGGGAGGGGGCTCAGAAAGATCGAGAGAGGGCTGACCTGAAGCGCCACGTTTTGCAGCTGGGTAGAAAAAACCAAAGGCAGGAGTCTAGGATGGGGAAGTGGCTTGTCAGTAGTACGTGGGGAAAGGGCCTGGGGGTCATTGTGGCCCACACGCTAAGGGTGAGCCAGCAGGGTGATGCTGCTTTGCTAACCAGGTAAATGGTGAAAGTGTCTGGAAACCGCTTAGCCTACAGAAAATATTACTAAGGGGAAACATGCTAGCCATCTTAAAACATTGGAATTGCTGTCCCTCGGAACAGAGAAGGGCCTTGTCCTTCCTTGTCCCAGAGGGCAGGACCAGAACAGGAGCCGCGGGAATCGGACCCGGTTCCTTATCAGGAACCGTCAGCGAGGAACCGGCTGCCACGTGAAGTGGGGAGTTCTCCTTTGCTGGGGACCTTCCAGGAGAGGCTGGGTCAGCACATCTTCCGTGGAGCAGGAGCTGGACTAGATGACCTCTGATGTCCTTTTCAACACTAGGATTCTATGAAACTTTCCCAGGAGTTACTTTGCGTGCCACCTAGCTGTACCATCTGCGGAGAAGAACTCTCACACTTGCTTTGTGTTTCAGACAATGGACTTGAATTTGTTTTTAATTTCAATTTCTGTGGCCACCCGCTTACACAGGACCCAACGTTGTTTCTCAGGGGCCAGCCGGATGCCTCTGTAGGGCTTGCAAACAGAAGACAGACTCATAACCACTCCTGCCATTACTCTCTTGCAAGTGGTATCTAGAGGCGTGGTGCCCAATGTCCATCTGGCTATCGTGAAAGCGTTTGCTAGGAATCGGACTAGCAGGAATTGATCTGTTTTTCAGGAAACCATCTCCAAGGTCTAATTTCACCACGTGTATGTCTATGTGTGTATGCTCTTATGAGCAAGTCCTTCAGCCAAAATCAAGGTTGTGCTGGGAGGACAGACACAGACCTTAGGCTGGAATTGTAGAGTTGTATGCCGGAGGCTTCTCTTGGTTCTTCAAAACTAAGGCGCTGTTGCTTACCTTATTTTTTTCAGATGGCCGTGAAACTCGACGGCGAGCCGCTGGCAGTGCCCAGTTCTGCAGGTACGAAGACCAGCAGCTTTTAAGTAGCTATTTGCTCTGTCTAGCCCCAGCCCCGCTTCAAGCAGGCGCTTTTGAGGAACGGCTGCTCTTAGAGAAGGGATCCCTTTGCTGCTCTCCAGAGCGCGGAGACGTGAGTGAGCCCAGCTCGGTCGGCAGCCCACAGGCGTGGCGTCTTGGCCCCTCAGCCCGTGCCTCCTCTTGCCCTGAACAAGATGGCTAAGCAGAAAAGGCTCATCTGGAGCCAGGCATCGGGCGTTTCCCCAAGGCCCGTGGAGGGGAAGGAAGGTCCCTTCTGCTCTGTTTGTGGAGGAGAGAAAAGCTGAACGGAGGGAGACGGCAGGCGGGGCAGGTCTTCATTCTGGAACGGGAGGTCCTGCAAGTCTTGGGCCATTTGTAGGCAGGAACTCTAATGTTTTCTTTTCCTGACAATGGCAGGTTTTCTTTGTGTCGGAGCCAACAAGGAAACACGTGGGAAGCCTCCAAACGTAAATCTGGAGGAAGAGGAGGGGAGCCTCCAGGCCGAAAGGATTCAGATTCACCGTCCACTTTGAGCTGTAGCACGTACACGGGCACGGTCCACGCCTGGGGAAGGATCCAGGGCGGTGTTCTGGCAGCCTAAACCCCCTTCCTTTCAGAACTGGCCGTGCAGAAGCTGCGCGGCCTCTTTTTCTCCCCTTCTGGGCTTTCTGCTGAGCTGTCCTTGATGTGGCTCCCCGACCTGCTGAGAACACCTGATGCTTCTCCTGAGCAAAGGAGGCAGAGGATCGACATCAGTGGGAGTGTGACCGCTGGAGAGCTAGAAACGGATGGCATCGTGTGTGGCTTGCTGATGGTTATGTAATGAATTTAAGCCTTCTATATATATAATCATATAGCCATAGAACAGCCATGTTTATCCTATTCACGAACTTTACTAGGAAACTCACGTTGCTGGCATGAAGGAATGTTGGAATGTACGCTGGATACCTTGTACGAATGAGTTCTCAACCATGATAAGGCTGGAATGCTGGTGGGTGTAAGGAATAAAGTGACACATCATAAATTTATAAGATAACGGGACGAGAGGTACCATGGCAACAACTGTACCAAACATGAAATGTTCCTGGCATGTACCGTACCTGGACGACCTGGATGGAGATGACCTGGATGAATTTTAAGTAAACAAGCTGGGTATAAAAGAAAGTAGGGAGACCATACTCCCCTGGAAGTGCGAGACGACTCTTGTTGGATCAGGGGACGCCCTGAGTCTGATTCCCAGCCCACTCTAGCACAGCCTGAT